ACAGCACACGGCGCCAAGTCCCAGCACGGCATAATGACCTCTCCTTTCTTGGATGCGGCAAAATTCAGTCCCCTCGGCCTCGTTCACACCGCCTGGGATCGTGGGTCTGTTCCGTGATGTAAAATTGTCATGAAATTCGGGAAGGCATGCCTGTTTTGCGGCCGGGTTTGCGTCGCGCTCCTTTGTGGCTTTCTGCTTACACATGCGGGTCTGCGCTCTCGGTACAGACGATGGCGCGGAAGGTGTGGGGTCACTGCCTGGCAGCCGCTCGGGTTTGGGAGTGGCTACTACGTGGTCTTGCATGACAGTTTGTCGCTGTAGTGAGTGCTTTGTGGCGCTGGAGCCCAGCTCTTTATCATTTATCTGACAAAGTGAGTCTCGTCCTATATGGTGATTTCATCAGAAGAGCTTCAAAGCTTCATTTGCATTATTTTCACCACTGTAGTGCAGTAACTTTGTCGAGCGATAGGTGTTTACTTTCGCGTGCAAAGCACTTCTGTTTTATACCCGTACGAAAGCGTCAGATGGTCGTCGGAAGCCTACCACTGTCCTCCACAAAGCACCATGTTCGGCCACCATAGCAGACGTGGCCGTGAGATGCTGACCCCGGCCGTTGGCGTGGTCCGTTTCAGTACCGCTCGGCTGTGGGCCAGCCGGCTCAGTCGCCGCTCCAATTGCAGCACAAGCAGAAGTCGTTCCTGACGTTCGGCTTCGGCGCCGGCGGCAGCAGCCGGCGCGAGAGCCACATCAACGTGAACGTGACGCCCACGGGCCACGAGGTCAGCTCCACGGACACGCCCGAGATCCGCAAGTACAAGAAGAGGTTCAACTCGGAGATCCTGTGCGCCGCACTCTGGGGTGAGTGCTGCCACTGGGCGGGGAGGGGGGGGGAGAGGGGGGAGGGGCGGCGCCGGAGATGTGGGGTAGGACGCGCCTGTCGTGGGTGGGTTCGCGGAGTGGGCGTGAGTGGGGAGCGGTTCAGTGGCGCCGATTTCACCGCAGGGCCCGATGAATGTGGGTTGTGTTTCCTCAGAATCCGCATGGCTGAGACCAGCTTGCTGAGCTGTGGACACGTTGCCGGCGACTCCCGCCCACTCGTGCGTGGTTCGAGCACGTCCGCCCGCGCGAGCGTCTCCCGCTCTGACTGGCCCCGTCCGCAGGCGTGAACCTGCTCATCGGCACCGAGAACGGCCTCATGCTGCTGGACCGCTCGGGCCAGGGCAAGGTGTACCAGCTCATCTCTCGGCGCCGCTTCCAGCAGATGGAGGTGAGGTGCCGTCGGTGCGCGACGCCAACGGCCTCCGGCTCGTGGTCCGGTGTCGGGCGCTGCTGGACGGCGGCGGGAGCTCGCCTGCGTTGTTGTTGTGCGTTGTTGCGTATCCCCTGCGTGACGTGCTGTTCACCGCCGCGGCGTCGGGTGGAGGCTGTCTCGCTCCCCTGCTGACGTGATCGTGCAGGCACACGCACACTGACAGGCGATGCGGTGAACACGATCGGTGTGCCTGCCGGAGGCCCGTCCCCACAAGGTGTGCCCCGTGGAGGCGCGAGCGCGGCGCAGCCCCGCCACAAGTCGTCGCTGGGGGCCGGTGCGTCGCGCGCTCCCCGGATTGTCCGGTGCGGATCCTTGTCGGCGCGGGGATGCTGACGTGTTCATTGCAGCTGTTTGGGAGCCGCAGCTTCTGTTGTGTGTGTGTGTGTGTGTGCCATCGGGACGCGTGCGTTAGCCAGACGACGCACGTTCCAGGTGCTGGAGGGTCAAAACATACTGGTCACGATCAGCGGCAAGAAGAACCGCGTACGCGTCTACTACCTGAGCTGGCTCAAGAGCAAGATCCTGAAGTCGGAGTCGGTGAGACGCGGTCGCCCCGCCGCGACGCTCGGCGCACTGGAAGCCAGGCTGGCCCGTTATGCCGTGGTTGTTGCTCGGCGCCCTTGGAGCCAGGCTGGCCTGTTATGCTGTTGCTGATGCTCGACGTCCTTGGAGCCAGGCTGGCCCATTATGTTGTTGCCCCGGCGCCCTTGGAGCCAGGCTGGCCTGTTATGCTGTTGCTCGGCGCCCTTGGAGCCAAGCTGGCCTGTTATGCTGTTGCTGATGCTTGGCGTCCTTGGAGCCAGGCTGGCCTGTTATGCTGTTGCTCGGCGCCCTTGGAGCCAGGCTGGCCTATTATACTGCTGCTGATGGTCGGCGTCCTTGGAGCCAGACTGGCCCGTTGTACCGCTGCTGCTGCGACCTGCTTGATTCACGGTCTAAAGGGTGGGGAGGGGAGGGTTAATACTGCACCAGCCATGTGTCGGAGTATCCGCACCAGCCAGCGCGCTGCAGGTAGCCGCGCTGGTGGCCACCTGGTAGCCGCGCTGGTGGCCACCGCAGCTGGCTGGTCCGATCCCACCAGACCGGCGCCGGTGCCCCCTCTAGGGCGGACCGCGCCGCGCCGCCGGACACGTGATAGCGCCATCCAGTCACCTGCCGCCGTGATGGGGCTCTGACGTCTGATGTTCTGTGACCACAGCAGCAGGTGGAGAGAAGGAACGGCTGGATCAACGTGGGCGACCTCAACGGCGCCGTGCACTTCAAGATTGTCAAGTTCGAGCGGATCAAGTTTCTCGTCATCGCACTGCGAGAGAGTATCGAAATATACGCCTGGGCGCCCAAGCCCTATCACAAGTTCATGGCCTTCAAGGTAGCGCATGGCTAACAGGCACTTGTTGAGACAGTTGACTGACATTTGTGTTAAGCGCATTGTTCAGCAGGGCACAGTTACCCAGAATAGCAAGTTTTTCTTGATTTCGGATTACAGACGACTTTTTGTTCGGGGTCATTGCCGTAAGTTATGTAGGGTACGATTATGCAGAGCAAGCTTCTTTTAAGGCATGGTTGCAAACGCTTTGGTCTACGAGGTCGCGGGCTGACGACGCAAGCGCTGTGCCTGCCATCAGCCCGGTTGATGGAGTGAGCTTGCATTTGTTCGATTTCGTGTTTTCAGCATTTCCGAAAAAACTAACAACCATACCGCAAGTTGCCAGGGAACAGTTAGAGTAGCACACATTGTGAAGGACCTAGTATACGATGAAATCAGCGCGGCTGCCGGTGGGCGCGTCTGCCCTGCTGGCACGCTGACGGCCGCGCCGCCCGCCGGCAGAGCTTCGGCGAGCTGGCGCACCGGCCGCTTCTGGTCGACCTCACCGTCGAGGACAACACCCGGCTGAAGGTCATCTACGGCTCCTGCGACGGCTTCCACGCCGTCGACCTCGACTCGGCCTCCGTGTACGACATCTACCTGCCGAAGCACGTGAGTGGCTGGGGGGCGCGGCGGCGGGCCGGGCCGCGTTCGCCGGCGCCGGAGTGTCGCCGTCTGTCGCGGCACGTGTCCTCCGTGCACTCGCTGCA